CAAATATAATGTTCCAGAGCCCCATATTAGTACTACTTAATTAATGTCCTGGTACACCTATCGAATCTCTACATTAATGAAAATTACACCAGCACTCGTAACTATAAGCTATATTTTAAAACACCTATAATTACTTTCACATGTAACAAAACGGTTACGCGAGTTCAATAAAAAAATGTTTTGAATAATCTTCTTCATTGCATTGCCAGAAAAATGTTATATCGCGTGCGATTTTGTTCGAAAAACATTCAGTCGAGTTTCAACTCTAATTTATAGTGCTAAAGGTGCTATAGGAGTTGGTCCTGCCAGGCTTAGATATCATGCAAAACGATTGTCCCAATTGTGAAGATCGATTTTTATTATCATTTCCGCGGTGGAAGCGCGCGGGCGGTGCCGGCCCGTCCCAGGGATCTGGTGTCTCCAGTCAAATTACATAATCGCCGTAGGAAGGAGGTACCCTACTTACCTCGAAGGCAGACGCTATAAATGCTTTATGTACTAGCAAGAATATTAAATGAACACATTTCATTGCATTGTTCCTTCCCTGTCCGTGTGGCGCACCCTGGGCAACAATCGGCAAGTATCTTACGTCGATTGGTGAATCCTTTCACCACGATGGCAAGCGTTATTTGTATGCCATCGATACATAAGGAGATGCATTGTATGTCATATGCATTTATTTCATAATTGCAGACATTTTCTTAATTCGTGGCTTTTAAATATGACTGCTCGTCGGCAGCTACACCTCTCTATGTTGCTGTTCGGTGTAGTGAAAACCGAGACACCTGAGTATCTCTACCGCAAACTTCGTTGGTCTCTAAACTGTTTTAAATACAAGGTTCGGGCTATCGTTCCTGCTCACCGCACAGCAGCTTTCAGATGAACTTTCAGGTTTGCGTCATCCAAGTGCTGGAATGATCTACCCCCTCCTCTTCGTGACACTTCTAGTAGGAATGCTTTTAAGCGCAAGCTTAAGGCTGTTCTGCTGGGAAATCAAAAGGGATTCTGTTAACTTTTTCCAGCACCTATTTATTTATACTTTTTATACACATTGGTTATATAATATATTAGTTGCTTGATGTAGGTATAGTGTATATGTATTAATTATTATAATGTATTTTCATAGTTATACATAAATTATTTGGAAGTATTTAAACATACACAACACACACACCCACACTCACATACACAAACACACACACCCACACTCACTCACACACACACCCACCCACACACACACACACACACACACACACACACACACACACACACACACATATATATACACATATACACACACACACACACAGACACACACACCTGTTACTGTTTAATATATACATACATATAATTATTTTACTGTTATATTCAAGTACCTAAGTATGATTGCATATGTTGCTCCATAACCTCACTTGGATCTGAAAATCAGTGCAGGGAACGCGTTGCGTTTTCCAGCAAATACTGAGTTTGTGACCCTTTTGTTACCGCGGCTGGCACCACACAAAGTATCTCAATATTTAGTGTTCTTTTTATTATTTGTGTGAATAGTTCCTGTTTTAATTTTATCAAATTTTTGTATATACATTTTTGATTTGTGTTTGTTTTTGTTTTTCTTTCGTAACTATTTATTTATGTTTAACGTTGAATGTTTTGATCGTGTTTTATTTTAGTTCTGTTTTGTTCCGTTTTTTCTTTTTTTGTCTTTTGTCTTCTGTGGTGTCATTGTGGTATACAAATAAATGTATTTTCTTTCTTTCTTTCACTTTTAAAAACTAAGTACACACATCAAAAAAAGTTTGCGATCACTTCGAAAAACTGAAATCTTTTTAGTTACTGTAGATTATGTTATGATTTTTTCTTCTTTTTAGATTCTTTATTTAAAAATAAATTATAACATAAAACAATGACCCCGTTCAATTGTTTTTTCATATAAAAAGGCTTTCAGTCCTACCTTACGCTCATTCAGAAATCTGATTTAGTCAATTATAAGCGATTCAAGATATTTTTCGCGGAAAGTTGTGATTGAAAAAATGCCAAGAGGATTATCAGAGGTTTTACGAGCTAGAATAGTAACTTTGAGGGAAGAGGATACACCACGAGAGTAATAGCACGCAGACTTGCTATATCCCAATCCTGTGTCTTGGCTACGTTGCAGAGGTATCACGGAATGGGGAATTTAGCTGACCGACCCCGCAGCGGTCGCCCAACTGTTTTGACAGCTGCCCAAAAGCGCTATATTAGATTGCTGGCAGCCCGTGATCCAACAATCAACGCCACTAAAATAAAAGCAGAAGTCAGGGCCGCCTCTGGGCTTGAAGTTAGCACGCAGACCGTTTGCAATAGCTTGCACCAGGCTGGATTACGAGCACGGAGGTCTTGGCGAGCTCCGCTCAATTCCCGGCAACGTCAACAACGAAGATTGCAGTGGGCTAGACTTCGGCAAAATGAAGAAGGTGAGGACGAAAACATTTGGCAAAACTGTCTCTTCGTTGACGAATCCCGAATCAGCACTCATCCAGATAACCGACGTGTCCGTGTCTGGAGAAGACCAGGCGACCATGAAAGACAAAGAACTGCCACTGGAACAGTTCAGCAAGGCGGAAAATCGGTGTCCTTTTGGGGTGGCATTATGATTGGAGCTAGAACGCCTTTGATCCAGTATCGGGGCTTCATGACAGCAGACATGTACAAAGCAGTTGCTATTGATGATATCGTCAGACCATTCCGAGTAAACCATGGGCACCAATTTGTACTGGTCGATGATAATGCGCCCGCACATCGAGCTCAACGAGTCAATGCAGCTCTTCAAGAATACGATATCACACGATTAGACTGGCCTGCCGGCTCGCCCGACTTAAACCCAATAGAGCACGCGTGGGATGCTCTTAAACGAGCAGTATGGAACCGTGAGCCACATCCCCAGACAGTTCCAGAGCTCAGGGAAGCCGCTATTGAAGAATGGGATAGGTTACCTCAGGAAATGCTGGGTAACTTGATCCTCAGCATGCCCAGGAGGATCTTCGCATGTATTCGAGCCAGGGGAGGAGTTATTTTATATTGAATTCACACCTTTTAATAATAAATTGTTGTTTAAGTTTAATTAAACAGTCTTTTTCTTTCTATGAAATTTCTATCACTATTACATTATGATTAATGGCTCATTTTTTTAAATAAATAATAAAAAATAGTTTTATATTTTAATTTCAAACAGGGTATTCCTATTTAAAGAAAGCATACAACATAGATTTTTCTTGATAAAGTTAAATTTAAAGAATTATAGGAGATTATGCTATTGATCGCAAACTTTTTTTGATGTGTGTATATTCATATGTTAGATTTTAACATAAAAAGACGTTCTCACGTAAGTGGTATCGTTAGATTAAGCTATAATAAACTTTGAAATTAGCCATTGATCTTATGCCATAATCAGCGAATGTCGTAAAACCCACCTCGCTTCCCCACTGTATTAGTCTCCGCTACTCACGTTCCACGAGCTCGCTTGGCGCTCACGACCTCCTTTATATGGGAGGTCCTCACATCTCGCCGCTGCCAACTTTACAGTCGGCTTCGTTACACCCTATGAACCAAATTAAGTATCTACCGTCTCTTAGCTAGTATATAATAATGTCGGAACTTGGGACTTATTATTTTGTTAAAATTTTAAGTGCCTTTAATAACAAAAGACATTGACAAAAAAACATTATTGGAATTAACGAATGAGAAAAATGCTCGCAAGAATTGCACTGTAATAATAATAGTATGCGAATTTTTAGCATATTCGTATTTACATTATACATATACATATACATTGTATTTGCATTGTTGAACTTGCCGTGACTGTTGTACACTTGGTGAGGTTCAAGGTTCGTCTCCTTATACGGAAACCGGATGTTCTCAGTGGTTGATTATGTGATGATAGAGAGGATAGCCCATACGTCGCACCACTACTACTGTCTCGTGAAGATGTATTGCATACTATTTGCAAAATGCCTTAAAAGTTGTCTATTGTACGTACTACTTAGGATGAAAACAACCCCAATCTAATGAGCAAATAAATTTAGATTTTTCACATCACCATTTTAATGCTAGTCGTCTCACACCCAAAGAGCAACAATAGAAATTTCATTTTTTAGCAAGCACCAATAAAGTTTGACATGAAAAATTATAGCATTGTTACAAATTGAAGCTGAAAATACAATCATGTTTTCATTCATTTAGAGATGTTTAATTAAAACACACGAAGGTGTTTTTTGTTATTACCATCAGACTGAACTTCGCTCGACTTTAAAATAATAACCTGTCATTGTTCAAATCCATCGGAGGTTCGCTTTTGTATCTTAATTGCTGGCTGTCAAAACGACCTCACGCTGCTGCCTTCTCATTACCGCTGCCTCCTTATTTAAACGCCGATTCTAGTAAGAGCCCTTGTCAGAGATGTAAATTAGGCATTTCCAAGATTCTAAGCCTCATTAATGTGCCGAAGGTCGCAGATCGCCGACAAACTCATTGTGGCGTGGATATGACAAAAAACATTCGGGCTGAGTTTTAATATTAGACCAATCAGATTTCTTCAGTTGTCTATTGAGTTGAGAAGAACAGCGGGAGGTAATTCGGAGTCGTAGCGGTTTTGTGTCGAAATCTTAAAATTATAATTTGGTTTTCGATTCTGTAATGATTTATTTGGAAACTTGGGCGCTCACCCATTCGCACAATTAGCTCTCATTTAAGTATTTATTGTGGTGTTTCGGAGACAAATGCCAAAAATGTTTTTTTTTGCAAGCAGATAGGACTTTTGAAAAGGATTTTTTAAATTTAATTAAATAAGCTAGAAAAGCTGTTCCAGAGAATTTATTATGAAGAATTTAAAAAAAATACTTTTGAATACAAACTAATGAGTTTTGCTGTTCAATTTCAAATTCAAAACCAAACTTTTGCCTCTAATATCGGAAGACAGGCTGATGTAGTTAATTAGTATTTTAATAAATTTCTTCTTGTTGTAGACCAAAGCCATCGGCATGGCGTATCGGTGTGGCCCAACGGCCATCGGGAACCGCTCCTCGTGGGCACCGCTCTCGTCTCCTGTGGAAAAAACCTTCGACCGCCCTCTCAGCGGCAACTTCGACAGGATATTCAATGCGTTTGAAAGAACCAACGCTTTTGAGTACGTCAGGAACTCAGTAGAAAAGGTATACTTACTTTTTATTACTTCTTATTGCTGTGGTAGATGTCATTCCTATTACTATTTTTTTTACAGCAAATCATCATTGCCTCCAGGTTTGTTTACTGTATTAAAGCATAGGTGGAGAACCAACGTCATCACAGGTACAGGAAATTTACGTTGGTCTTTCATCGGCAAAACATTTGTAAGGAGTGTTAAGGATACTTTCTCACTCCGAAATGTAGCCAAGCCGCTTAGTATCAGGTTTTGATTGAAAGTTTGTGTTTGTATGTCTAATAAACTCTATTGAAATCTTTTATTTTTCATAAAAGGAAGAGCGTCACATCGGTCATGGGGACATCGTGGTGAATAGAAAGATGAGCAGCAGTTTCGAGCGGGCGGATTGCGCGCTGGCAGCGCAAACACCCTGCTCCGAGGATGAAGACTTCTACAGAGAGAAGATCCTATATTCGCAGGCGAGACAGCTGTTTCCGCTTCAGGAGGATCTGGCTGACTGGATCAATAAGACTATTGGTGAGTTGCAAGCAGAGTGGCGTTAAGTTGAAAGAGAGGTTCAGCAAATGTGGGAGGTTCCTTGCAATATTATGACAATGAGTTATTCTTGGAACAATATCCAACTTGTCTTTTAAGCTACCATTAAATTGCCATTGTCAACCGTGACCATGGGACCTGTAAAGGGCCCGAAACGTCGGTTTGTTTGAAAAAACAAATATACGCGATTTAAATCCGCAAAAATAGTTTCATTCCTACCATTAAAATTTGTCAAAAATCTCAAAAGATATTGTCACATCTCTTACTTTACATATAGCTATGGTCACACCACAGTTCCCGATAAGTCGGTGATAACAAACGTTAATAAGTGAATCGGAAGATGAAGATGTATATATTGGAACACACCAATTCAAAATTTCAGAGATTAGTGTCTTTAAGACTCGTAGCTACCGACATTATAAAAACAACACACTTCGTGACAAGAGCCAGGAAAGAATTCTATTTCTTTGTGGTAAAACCGGACATCCTAAAAACAAAACTAGTGGAAAGCGTTGTAGATCTGTGCAGCTCAGTTATGCGCGATGTGTACGCGTACGCAGTAATTATCTTCAGTGTAAAGGTGGGGACGCACGAACCAATGAACACATCCCAATCGTAAAGTGAACGTTACAGAAACTATGTACCTAATTTATATTTATTTCATTTTCACTTTATGAGAAAAATTTGGGCGCCTGAGAATATATCTGAAGGGAAGACTAATTTCCATGGCAATACCACCTTGGACTCAATTAATGAACCGTTCCAAAAAGCCATCCGTTCGGAATACCTATAACTTGAACTACAAATATTCTTTTTTGTCCCCTGTGTAGGTTATTGGTCTGTGTATTCCATTTGTCTGAGCCTACCCTAACCGGCAGCGTCACATTCATATTGCACACGTGTGTGGAGGAGCGTGAAAATCGCAATTTTTTCAGTTTCTCCTTTGCGCACAGCTCATGCGTCAATCTCACGTTTTACAGCGCGTACCCATCGTCATTAAACATTAATGTGTTAGGTATAGTTACAATTGTTATATATACAATACCAATCCCAGTCCTATTGTTTAATCACTATAGATGCCAAAAGGACGTAGTCGCTTAAGAAAAATTTGGTATGATGTTTTAAAGGCCTCAATGTTGGGACGTGAAAATTATATGCAGACCTGGGGTTATGGTTGGTTCATTCATTAAACCCTTCGAAAAAAAAAAGTCAAGATTGTCAGAACTTTTTGTTTCTTATATTTTAAGTGTGAATTTTCGACACAATATCTTCTCGTTATTGCAATGTTTTGTGTAATGAGTTAATGACCTCTGTTTGCAGAAGGCAATTTCCAGCCATTTCAAATTTCTTTGTTCCCTTTTGTGAACAATGTATGTAGATATATTTTAGACTGCCTTCAGAGAGAATTAACGCACATTTCCGCAGGAATTGCTGTAAAAGAATTAACAATTTGTCCTTTTGATGTCCAACTACTTTAATTCCTCTAAGTGGTTTCTTATAAATATGTCATGTAGCTCCGAAGCAGTCTCTAACATGTCGCAGTATTTTTTTATTACTTTATGTCATTCAAATAAACAAGGCGGATAACAACAATAGAGCCACCATAATAAATGGAACTAGTGTTGGATCATCGGTCCATATCGAGACCTCAAAGCATGCGGGAGAGGCTACTGTAACACGTTTGATGATAAGAATCATTGCGAACTTATTGAAGACAACGCCACCTACAAACACATTTCCGAGTCCCTTAGGAACTGAAAATGTGCCGGTCTCGTTTAGCAAGCTATGTATACTTAAGAGCTTTGATTTCAACGTCATGTCGTAGTCTCGCAGTTGTCAGATGGCCGTTCAAGTCGTGGGTGTCCGCTAATGAATGGAACCGTGGAGCCATAACTGGTTCTTATAATAGCCAATTTATTAAAAATTAGCTTCAACATTTATCTGCATCCGGTTATTTTGGCCCACTCGGTGACAGACACTGATTGTTTTTTTTTTGTATATTTTTAATTATACTAGAAATTTTAAATAAATTAAGCACGAAGGTCATTAAAATTTGTGTTTAAAATATCTATATTATGTAAAACCAACACAATTGTACTTTTTACAAGCATCTGCACAAGTCTAAGACATAATACATATAATATATATAAGTTACAAATTGGCTTACGTTCTTCATTCTTCTTTATACGCGAGTGGGTAACAAACCATCTCAACGTAATATCGCGCTAGTTTCTAAAGAAAGTTGGCAGGAAGAAAATTTCAACGGAACATAAAATTTTAATTCCATCAGGTTTTAACCACAAATATTGCACACGGGTTGGTCACATTAGACCGACAGAAATTGGCGCACGTAACCTAAGGAAACAATTTATTTAGGTACTGGGACTACGTGCCATAACAGATACGGCGAAAATGAAAATTGAATAGAAATATCATATGAAAGTTAATATGAAGGTTGTTGTGGTGTAAGTTGAGAAATGTATAGTAAGGTTAGACGACATTTGGGATAAGCGTATTGTTAGGGCAATTTACTAAATGGTCCCCATATGTACCTGGGAGATAGGGTTTAGAGAAACTAACATTTTTACTGGCGTCACAGTATATTTAGGGAAATGTTATTTTATGTTAAGGAGTATAGCCATTTTCTCACGAAAAGTAGCATTCAAGTAACAATCGTCTTCACAAAATAGCAATTACTACGCTTGTACGCATAATAAGTCTTATTAATATTCAAATGTTGTCCTGGTATATGAGATTTAAAACTATCGCGAAACTAAAAATCTACCTATACAAAAAGCATAAAAATATGATAAAACTTTATATAAATAGGTACAGCTTCCGCGTACTGTTCCGTCCCGCTGTTTTAGCTTGCTTCTATCTGTGGCATTTGAAATTAATATTATAAATGGTAAATGTGACCAAATCTAAATCTATAAAGCGCAACCCTTAGAGTGTCTTACTCAATTTCCTCAGGGAATCTGCTTCATGACTGAGTAAGTGTTGAATCAATTTAACGATTTCATGTGTCATTTGCTTACGTATGACTTAAGTGTATTATTTTAAATTTGCATAGTAAACAAATGTTAGGTACATTACTTATCTAATAACTGTAAATTATTGCTAATTTATGGTTTCCATACACGGCAGTGCAATGTTGTAGTCGCATGCGCATAGCGTGAGATTCGTCACCTCCGCCTACAATCGTTGTGTTTACGATTGTCGCGGTTTCTTCACTTCAGACCGAAGCTTTGACGTGAAGTCATAGTTTAAGCACAGCCTACAATTATAACCTAATCCAGAACAAAGGCGTAGTAGACACAATGACCATAATCATTATTAAGATCGCTAATTTGCATCACTTTTCAAAGACTAAATACCTAGTACGGTTCTAGAAATATTTAACAACACTAAAACTTCATGCATAGGTATAAATCTTATAAATATAGGTATCAATCTTTTTAATGTAAAATAATTAGACGAATATTAGACCGCAATCTCACTTGAGCGATAATATAAAAGTAATTTTGAAAACTCATCACAAATAATATAGTTCCTATTGAGGGAAGCTAAGACATGTGTGTCGCTATTCTCAAGGCTTACGACTGTACTTCACATTTACGACGAATATCTTCGCGCTGTGAAGCAATCGTACTAACGTTTGACACGATGCCTCATAAATATAGTATTTTGGTCACAAGTACTTAAACACGCCTCCGTCTTATACTTTCTGTAACCCGTACATAATAAAGACGTTTAATAATACACTTATCAATCTAAATTTGTATGGTACTATGACAGCATGCAATGAATTATTACTACAAATGCACAGTCAAGAGCCGTTTTTGGCCATGATTTTCAATATCGTACTAAGACTTTCCCATGGCGAGAACAAAAGCCCCGGCAGTCGTAGCCGTCGTCGTCGGCGATATTCATAACAACGTAATGCAAGTAATTGTTGGCGCATTATCGGCTCTTAAACCAACATTTGCCGTCACGAACATGATAGTAGACGCATGTGGTAATCCCCCTCACATGTCTCTACTATCTCTTTGAAGTTCGTCTCAAATTACTGCTACAACTTCATTTCAATATCAACCATCTGCGTCTTGTAACAAGCTTGAAATTGCCATCCCGTGTTTCAAAAATTATGATAAATGCAACGTTTAGCACATCATTTCACGTTTTCATGCTTCACTTCGTGATTCGTCTAGGTAGGTAATTTTACTGCATTATCTTACTGTACAACTTTCGCCAGATCTTTAATAAGCTTACATTTTTAAATTAGTAAATGATTTATACACAATAAACCATAATGGCCCCAAACTTGAACCTTGAGGTATCCCAGCCCGAATTTAGCATGCATTACCGAACAATGTTACCAATTCGTGTTGTATCATGAATTCATAACAGTGCGTTACACATAATTAGTAGCGGTGGGTTGTGAATCACGAATGTTAGTAAACACGGCGAAGTGCGTAGCGCTGAGTGCGCTGCGTGATCTATTGCTGCGCCGGCGCTGGTCGACCTGCATAACAGCTAACGCAATTACAGCACGCTTCGTTAATCACAATTATGCTGTGATTGATCATTTAAGTGGGTATCAAATGACAGATGAAGTGCAAATACATAAAGTTATGCTACATTGATCCCATTATATTTAAGTTCAACATTTAACATGTTATATAAGACAGCAGTTAAAAGCATATCGCAGTGTTCTTTGCCCTTGTAATTTTTGGCAAACAATGTGGTCCTAGATGTTAGGCAGTGAGTGAGTCAGGGACAGCAGCTATCGTAGCCCGGTAAGGAGAGTAACAGCAGCTACCGCTAGCCGCCAACTGTCCTATAATGTACTGCGCGTGAGTTCATTTTATGAATATTCAAATCGCATTTCAGTTGAAGACTAAATTTTGAGAGATAGCGGGGAACTAAACAGGAAAGTATAAGTACCTACAATCTGGAGTACAATTTCCAAACAACAATAATAAAATTGTTTTGTTTTTTGTTGATT